GGGTGGGGTGGGCGTGCTTCTTTCCAGTCCTCGCAGAATGGCAGAGAATGAAAGATGACACCGACCTCTCGCAAATAATCAACAAAACTGGAGAACAGAAACCGTTCGGAGAAATAGAATTCAAATTTATTATCCCGAGCGTTCGGAGAAATATTCTCTTCGTTTTAATTATTTTTTCCATTTAATCTGAGAATTTTTTTTCCTATACTATACAGGAGCAGGAAGCACAGGATGGTGGTCAGAACAAATTGGTGGATGAGGAACAGCGAAAGGAAAGTAGACTGACCTTGGAGCAATGGCTGAACAAAAGCATGAGGATCAAGATGACAGATGGCAGGACCCTTGTCGGTATGGGTTGATCATGAAAAAGTCACAAACTCCCAAGTTATCTTTCAGCCACGCCCCTGATCTTCCGGTAGGAAAGATCTACACCTAGCCTTCTCGGACAAGGGCGAAAAATCTCGGAGGCCCGGTGTGCAAGTTGTGCACTTTAAAGATCCCCTGGTGGTCTAAATTCGATAAGAGTAGGCTTCGGCTGCCACCCAGGCAAAATTCAAAATTTCCTACCAACTGAAAATGTTTAATATAATGTCCCACATGTTCATATTTATACCTTATACAGTTGCGAGCATCGTAAAACACTTACCTTACCAAGTTGTCTAGGCTTTCTACGAACAGTTGATAATTCTCATTTGGCCCTACCTGATTTCAGCTTACAAAACTTGCTAATTGGACACTGAGCTTGCATGTCGAGAAATGAAGCCCCTTTATGAAGAATGAAGAATAGCTACTTTTGATTAAAGTTTTAAATGAAATGAATGTCTACCTCTATAGAATCTATAGGGTTCATTGAATCATTGTCCTGCACTGTTTAGCTTTACATTTTCATCCCAATACATTTAAAAGTCTATTCACTCATTACGGTTTCAATTCAAAGTGAACAAAAGGGGGTTGAAAAATTTGGTTTTTATTATTTAAAGAATGTTTTATACCTGACTTTTATGCTTGGATTGTAGTGTATGTCGTAGTCGTAGGAGAGAGAGAGAAAGAGAACACAGCTATTCAATTTCACTCTCTTACCCTGTTAGAGGGGTAACAAATGATGGCGTGTTCTTCTGGCTGATTTGAGAAAACTAAGAAATGGCTGTTCTGCGTGGATGATGTAGTAGACCTCAGACAGCCCATTTTGAAGGCAGAATGCCACGGCTGAAACCGAAATGGACAACTTCATCTAACTATTAGCTGGTTTTACCTTTTGTTGACACTAAACTGTTTTCTGTGTCTTTCCCTCTTTATAAATAAAATGTTACGTATTCTTCTACTTCTATGACCTGCACTTTGACTTTGAAACGGGTTTCTATATTTTTTTTTACGTATTCTTTGGACTTTGGATACTTTTATTATGCTATCCTTGCTCTGGGTTATTGAATTCTTTGCATTAAAAAACTATTGAATCTGTAGAATGTGTAATAAAACAAATCAATGCAAGAAACCAAACTTTTCTCCATTTTCACCAGGCTATCCTTTAATTCTAGAAAATAATACAGTTGTGAAATATCCCTTTATCTGCATGTGATCATTTGATGTTTCCCTGAATTTCCCTATTGTAGTAGGAATTGGTGCAGATGCTGTTTCATGTACAGTACAGCATTACATAACATCATCATTGAGCATTGATTGAGTGTTGTCATTAAATAATTTTCCTTTGAGTGAATGTTTGGAATGATGTTTTGTTTATTTTTATCTGCTCAGGTGTTTTCCTGTGCACAGACTGTGATTGCAACATCATAATGGGCTCTTGTGAGGAATATTTGAAGCCTCCAGGTGAGAGGGTTTTAACCCGTTCAATGCCGTAGGTAAATAGGCCCCTGTGCCGGGGAAATTCCATGAACCAAGGCGGCTCAGTGGTGACCCCACTATACCTCCCATTATAACTCTTTTAAAATGTTTATATGAATATTTCCTTGAATTTTTGCGTTTACATTCTACATTGAACCACATTTGTATTGATATAATTTTAGGGAAATTTCATTGAGAGATAGAGGGAGAAAAGTTGGAGTTAATAACATGATGCCAAAAACCACACCGACAGACAACATAAAACGTTTCGAGTAATAATAAACTGAGACCAATAAAAGGGGAATACATGTTGTGTGAGTGTCTGCAGGTAAAGAGGAAGTGACAAGAGGCTTTTCCTACCTTGCACAACGCTCGTATGATCCGTATATTTATGCTTGTAAGCCCGTCTGTGTTTACTGCCAATCAATCATTTTTTGGCGGTAGATGCATTAGTGTTAGATCTAGGTCTGATCTTATCTTTGAGCTAAAATTAAAATCTGAATCTGACGCGTTCAAATGGGGGGGGGGGGGAATGGTGGTAAACATAAAGGGAAGGCACCTCAATAATAATGACTAGATTTTCGCTGTAATTTCCCTTATCGTTGGTATCCAAACAACCACTGTCACAGTCACGTAAATTCTACGGGCGCGGCAGCAAAGAGGTTAATCAGTAAAACAAAAAGGAATTTCCATATCTGGACACTGGCTTTTTATTACTTATAAAAGTCAACCAATAACTCCAGCCTGACCATGTAAACTTTGTAAAGATGATTAAAAAAAAAAAATGATATGGGATTGAGAATTATCATTTCACCTCTACGGAGTCTTTTTTAGAATAGACAGGTTAATTTTATGTTTATTTGCTAAGTGGGTCCTTTTTTGTGATTTACAAGATTTTACATTAGAACTGGAAAGGGGATGAGAGGATCATTTTGTGGAACTGAGTCAAGAAGTCAGGGGTACCATCACTAAAACAGGCTAAACAGCAGTATTGTCTCTGAGTGGGCTTCTTGGTTGTATTTTTTTAAATTAAAAATTTCTCGCCTTGAGCCATTGTCACACTGATATAGATCAGATCTATTTACCTTCTTGCCTTCTTGTCAAAGAGGTTTGAAAAAAAACATCTTTCTGCTTCAATTTTTGCAGTCCAAGAACTAGGAAAATGATGTTTCTATGTTGTTCTCATTGTTTTAAAAAAGTACACTCCTACTTGTGTGCTTGTTATGCAGAGTTTTCAATGCTGGTTTCCTTTCAGATTGTTTACCAAAGGAAGACCCTCGCATTTTGGGCCTTGCGATGATTCCGGGAAAGCATGTCATATCCATTGAAATAGACGAAACTGCCAGTCAAGAAGAAGGTACTCCTCTATGGGTGAAAAGCATTTGTGGGGAAGCGTTGTGAAATCAGGCGCTCGTCAAAACAATGAAAATCAAGAAATTGACATTTTCCGGCAGGTTTGGGAATTTTTATTGTATTTTTGTTTTTTTGTTCAACACCTTTCATATCCATTAAAGAGCACATTTTTATGTGGATTTTACTGAAAAACATTGATTAACGGCAGAAGATATTTTCAATTACCATAGACCTCAAGCTAAAGAAATAACTCAACTTTGGCGGCCATTTTCTTGCTGATCTGAAACCAGATGACCCTCATCTCCTTCAATCACACATATTTCGACTTCTATTCAATAGAGATGGATATTATTAAAAAAGATACCATCAACTCCGTGTGCCCAAAACTTGACGAGAGCCTGATTTCACTGCGTCGTGCCACATTTGAACATTTAGTATAATATCTTTACAAATCTCTCGCCCTCGCATCTCCCTCCCTCCCTCCCACTCCCTCGAACCCTCTCTCCCCCTCCCTCTCTCTCTCTTTGTTTCATACCCTCTCTCTCTTTCCTTCCCCTCCATCTCTCTCTCTCTCTCTCTCTCTCTCTCTCTTTCTCAAGAAAGAGAAACAATTTTGTTCCCTTTGCAGGTGTGTCTGCTTGAAAATTCAAACAAAGATCTTTTTCTCTTCAGGTCGGCTGTAAGAGAACAAGAACTGGTTTGGCTGTATTTCAATTATAAACCTTTATGCACTGGGAACTTTATTGTAACAAAGGCTTGAATAATTTCCCCAATTGTGAAATATCTGAACTATCTCTTTTGACTTGGATGTGCCAACAGGTTCAAAACAGACTGCCTCCTACTATAATCCTCTGTATGTTTATGAGATAGTGAAATATTTACCTTTGGAAAATGCCCTAGTGTCAGTGTGTGGCTGGGTTGTGTTAGAGGCAGGGTTCTGTCTGTACTAGTTGGTCCCAGATTTTTAAAGTAAAGAGCACTTGATTTTACAGAATAAGAGGAGGATCTTTCTACTATGTCGTCATGTTGTTGATTTGATTTAGTGCTCAAGACAGTTTTCCTAACTTAGGCAAGTGCACCATTAATGCAGCGCAAATATTGCTGGGCTTTGAAGAGTATGACTCACGTTGTAATCCCTTAATGGTGTTCCCAAGCCTTGGTTGTTTTGGAAGTTTTCATTGCTCTTCAATTGCTTGGCTCAGTCATGTTGGAGATGGATGTTAAATCAGAGATCCTATTTTTGACTGAATGGCTCATGTTTATTTCTTGTGCGTCAGTAAACTAAAGTGTAATGTCAACCTGTTTTACCATGCTGTGTTTCGTAAACTGTAGAATAAGCATTTCAAACTCTTTTTAGTTTGACTCATTTTTTACTTTCTGATTCTGGGAAAGGGATGCTGCGCTGTAATTATTTTTATCTTGCTAGTGCAGTGCTGGGAAAAAAAATTGGTATCAGTGGATCAGGTATAAGACTTCGGCTAGTAGTTGTTCCCTTCTTCTTTACCTGACTTGACTCATGCTAAAAACTATTCCATTTCTTTTTTTTCAGGCAATGTTGGTCAATTAGTTCAGCAGTATTAGTGCTGAGAAATATAAATATAAGGCGACATTGGCTTGGCTGTACCAGGTGGAGTAACAGTGGAGGAGAATTTGTTACTTTTGTTTGGCTGTAACAACTTCTGGCTGATGGAGGTGTTGTGGTTCAAATGTGGTGATGAGAAAAGTTGGTATTTAATATTGAGACTCAGTGATGGATGATAAATGATTAGCATCTTGTTGGTGACCATGTCACATGGTACCAGGTGTGAATGAAAGTGATTTTTGTTACATGTAAAATAACATGCAGTTTGCAAGAATATGTTGTGATGTGTTGGAATAAGTGTTTTGTTGTGACGGTTAGAAAGCTAGGGAAAGGTGTGAGGAGCTGTTTGGAGTTGCAAGGTCCTGGTCAGTCAGGTTTGCTCACCTATCATGGTTCTGTACTTGTGATTCTTTACTGCTTCTCTTACTCCTCGCTTTAATGTCGGAATGCTGGGGTGGTGTTTGAATGCTTTGTGTGTCCATGTCACATTTTATTGCTAAAATGTGTGGGTGGCTTTCTGCTTTATGCAGAGGAGAGATGCACAGAGTTATGTCCAGTAGAGAATGTGAAATTTGGAGAGCAAAAAAGTGGTTTTTGTGAAGCAAAAATGAGGAATGACGTTTTCTTCATGTTGTGCTTGTGAGAAAAAAATGGTCTTAATGAGGAGAGATAACAATTAACAAGTGATTTTAAAATTGAATGAGCATTTTTGGGAAAGTAACTGGAGGCCTGTGAAGGGTGTAACATTTTGTAATGTAAATGGAACAGGTGCATTGAGTTCTGGTGAAGTGACATTTGAAAAGCTACAGAGACAAAACTGTTACATTTGAATCCAAAATTGGAATGTGAATGTGATGAGTCGAATTCATACTTCGGAGTAAAAGTAAAAATTGACCTTTTGTTTAGCAGAAGTGACGTGTGAGTGTGACCGTGAAAGTGACCGTGTTAATGCCTGTGTGAGTATGTCAGAATTGAAATCAGTTGCTTATTGCTATTCAAATTCGAATTGGAAGCTGTGTATGTTTTCTCTGCATGCTGGACTTTCATTGTTCCAAATGTATAAATATGTGTAGATGTGTGTGTTTGTAAGGCTTCCAATGTTTTTATCTTTTATTGTCTGAAGTTCTATCAGAATTTCAAAAGTTTTCAGAATATTTGCATTGAAGATGAACCTCGTCAGATATCATTTGGTACAAGTATTGCATGAAGAATTACCTGAAGTTGTGGAAAATCCATTTAAATACATGTTCATCTTTGATTCATTAAAAGCTGATTTCAGTTTGACTGTTTTGTTTTTGTATTATTATTTTTGGATGTATATATATGTATTTAGTTTGATGGCTGGTGAGCCTTCTTGTGTGGTTTCCCTGCTTTCCTAGCTATCATACATCTAATGTCTTTATTTGTCCACCTTTTCTTTGTGTGTAACACTAACTCCTCTAACCTTTAATAATTGTATGACCTTATAAGTAATTGTGTTGCTAGTGCCATAAAATTTGCTAAAACCAAACAAAAAACAGATGTTTTGAGGCAGGTTTTTCAGAGTGAAATCACGGGAAAAACATTATGATTAGCTATAGTATGAGAACAAACAGAGGCTGCTTGGAAGTTGGGAGTTCTCCATTGAAAGTCCTTACGACCCAGCGTATTTTGAGGGCTGCCAAGTAAACTGTGGTAAGTCACGTTTTTCAAATTTTACAGAAGAAACAAAAACTGAATTTTCTTGAAGCGTTTTGGGTGGATAAACTTCATTTTCATTAGGGAGCCTAATGTCAGTCTTGACATTTGTAGGCTCCCTATGAAACTGAAATTTATCCACCCAAAATGATCCAAGAAAATCTGTTTTTTGTGTTTCTGCTGTAAAATTTGAAAAACATGACTGACCATGGTTTACTTGGTGGCCTTCGATTATTTTGTCCTCTTGCTTGAAAATGGTTGTTTTTTTATGCCACTGCTATACTTCTCTTCTGTCCTTCTGCTGTTTCTTTCTTTCTGTCTGTCTCTCATGTGCTTCTTTGTTCCTGTACGAAATGGCTGTTATTGAGTCAGACATTACATGACCACTCTAACTGATGTGATATCCCCACTTTTGATAGCCAAATCCTGTGATCGAAAGGGATCATGTTCACATATCCTGTACCCAATGATTAAGAGAATGGAATTTATCTTATTATAATTATAGATTACCCATTGCCAATTTGCAGGGTAGTTATATAAGTAGTAGTACAACTTTTGTAACCCGGATTCCTCACATTTTTACAGGATTTTTCACCTCTATTATATCTGTCAACAATCTGTCCCCGTAGAATTATGCAAATTTAGAAGGCCAAATTATGCACAAAAAAAGCAAAATTATGCAAAAATTATGCAAGTTAGCGTAACACCATTCGCGACATGTTTTGCACTTTTTCAACACGAAGTTTCATGATTTTCATGTTTTTTGTACAGAAAAATTGAAAACAGAACATATCAGTATCAGTAATTTGTTGTGTATTTGGAAAAGAAAACAATACACATCAGTAAAAAAAAAAACCCAAAAATAATAATCTCTGTAACTTTCAGCTTTAGATCTTGATCTATAGAGGAAAGAAAAATATTTTTTTTTTAATTTTAAAAAGGACATCTGGACCTCTGATGCTGGCACATTACTAAAACCAGGGACACCTGTCAAACATGAAACATCAGCAGACATGAGAACACAACAACTTTTGATAGATTGAAAAATTGAACATGCTCAAGGAACAAAATCACAACCCCTAACCAAGGTCTTCTAACAAGGGAAATAACCAGCTTTTCACTTAAATGAGACTTATTACGGTGATTACGTCCCTTTAGTCACATTGCGAGGCGTTAATTGTTTTGTGAAAAATACGCGGATAATCCAAAATTATGCAAGTGTTGCAGAATTACGCGAAAAAACGCGCCGCACAATCGCATAATCCTACGGGGACATAACAATAGCTGGAATTTCAATTTAAAGTAAAGTGAATTTTCACAAAACGATCGTTCGCCAGGGTTTTTTGCTGGGCATGCATTCCTTCCCAGTGCCGTAGAATATGTTTTAAAATAGTGATTTTTACCCAAAACACATGTTACAATGCTTGAGCTGCCACCCTTTGAATGAATGTATCATCAGTCAACACTCTTTTCTTTGCTTTGGATATTTTTTTCTCTTTCTCTTTCTCTTTTTTTCTTGTATTGTAGTCTCACATTAGACTTTTGAGATGCCCAAGTAAAGATACTGTAATAACAGTTGCATCTACAGAGCGCAAATAGTCATTACACAATGCTCTCTGTACTTTTCAACTATTCGCATCATAATTGAATGGTTTCAACAGCTGGGAAAAGGAATGCAAATAAATAATATATCGATTTTAGGTCTACTCGGTGCCTTCTTTTCTTACAATCATTTATCATTCCCATTACAAATCTCGCCAACCCACGTGGAAACAAAGCGACGATATAGTGCCAGACCAAGGTCATGTAATTCACTCAATGGAAAATTCACTTTAACCTCAAAGTAGTCAAAGTGCTTCCGGCTTTCCAACTCCCTCTCCTTTACGAAACATCATAAAATGTGAAAAACCTTATGGACTTGCTATTAAAAGCTATATTGCCCCAGCTGTAAACATTTTAAAATCTGTAGAAACAACCCACTTGGATTTTTTAATTAGTGTTTGTTAAGGAATTTTCTAGTGTACAGCTTGCAGGTGTTTACAAAAATGTTGATCTGTTAAGACAAATTGATGCAAGCCACTGTGTAAAAATTGGAGAACCTAGATCTATGTTTGATAGTTGAGGAGATATTTGAAAATAAACCGTACCACGAATTTTTGACAGCACTATAGAATAGTATAGTCTACGGCAACTCAATAAAGAATGGGTATCGAAACTGTTGTCTCCATCTACTGTGTAGCAAGTCCTCTGGCTCTTCTCAGATTGTGAGCATAGTGAGTAGTTAGTATTGTTTCACTTTATTGCAGCTTTTATGCGGTTTCATCTAGAAACAGTTGTAAATATCGATATATGTACCTTACGGGATATCCTGCAGATTCTAATTGACTTTCTCTAGAAATCTTAAGTTAATAGTAGCTACTAAGCCTACTGCTCATTTGCTCACTTTCCAATTATGCACCACCTTGTCTGCAACCCACGCGACGCCACTGGCCCAACTCATGAATGGAGATATGTACCACAGTTGTCTTCTGCGGGGATCACAGTGAAATTGTTCACCAACCCCAGAACTTTGACGGTCGATCCAATTAGACTTCCGAAAATATTGTGCATCCCTTCCCCTTGCCACATCAGTTTTAAAAAAGCAAAATAAACAAAAATGTAGACACAATTCACTTACTTTCCTCTTGTGCTTGATTGACTTTGACTTTGATCTCGTATGCATGGCTTAAGTTTCAATTGCTGTCTACTGTCTGATCTTGGCTTTTGCAGATACATATTTTAATAATAATATATAAATAATTCATGGGGTTCCAAAGAATTTCATAAATGGATATCATAGTCAATAAGTAGGCCTACTAAAAATATGAAGCCTCTTGACAAGATGATACCCTGAGGGAAATCTCAGTTTGTAGCCTATTCGTCTTGAAAGTTTTTATTTTTTATTTTTCTGTATTTGGCCCTCATGGTGGTGTTGTAGTCAGAGAGATGGGCTCACTTGGTCCTTTTCATAGCTGCTTTCACTATAGCAGCAGCAGATGAAGCATTCACTTTTCTGGGGGTTTTTCTGCTTTGCCCTCTGACTTTGTTTCCTGTCTGCCTCATAGGAAGTGAAGACAGTCCTAATGTTCCTACCGAGAAGAGGGTAGATGGGATCTGTCTTTCGTTCCTTCCTTTAGAAGAAATCAAGAGCAGACAGGCTGTTCGCTTTGAGTTCATACTTCACTGTCTGGACAGCATTGATATTGACATCTTGTTTGTTTGTTCAAAATCCTTGCCATTTCTGAAAATGTTGACTTGATCAAGGGTCCATGAAATACTGTGAAGGCACCCAATGCTATCTTTGATAGGGTAGGATAATTAGAAGAATTATACTTTCTTGAGCCCACCAAACATCTACCCTACCTGTTCCCGTCGTTTTATGCAAGAAAAATAATGAAATTATGCAAACTGAACCCAAAAATGTGAAATTATGCGATTCTGTTAATTTTAACAAAGAATGATAAAGGAAAATAATAAGAAATTATGCAAAAAATTATCAAATTTTGCTAAATTGTGCGGGGTGCATAAAACCACTGGGACAGATCTATTCTTTAGATGCTTGGAGGAAGGCCATTATCATTTTGTAAGAGTGTAAGCTCTCACCTTATCTTCATAAAGCTGACCCCGTCGTTTTATGCAAGAAAAATTCTGAAATTATGGAAACTGGGCCCAAAAATGTGAAATTATGCAGTTCTGTTAATTTTAACAAAGAATGATAAAGGAAAATAATCAGAAATTATGCAAAAAATTATCAAATTTTGCTAAATTATGCGGGGTGCATAAAACCACGGGGACGGATAAAGCACATTCTCATCTTCTGTCAAGAGATGACTAAGCTTGGAGCAAAGGATCTTCAGTTAGGAAAAGACTACCGAATGGTTGACGAGTTCTGGATCAAGTGCTAAAAATGCCATGTCAGAGTGCTGTTGTCTGTTGGGAGTTTCTGTAGCATAAGTTGGGTTGCAGACACCTAGCCTTGAATCAGTTTCTGCATGAAACTTGAAGATGTTTCAAGTTGTCCACTAGTGTAAATACATGTATGTGCATGAGGTAGTCTTGTTCAACCGTCTCACTCGCATCCGCTCTACGATAGGCTGAGGGTAGTTGAATCTGTGGATCGCTGGGCGCCTCAGGACCGAACTCAAGCTTCTCATAGCCTACCGTGGCCAGACTTAAGGCTGGGGCGGAATGACCGCCAGCGCGGATTTTGGGAAGTTCTTGCAACCGCGGAAAATCCGTGGAAGACTCATAAAAGTGCATCTATTGCATTACAGAGCATACACCAAATGCTGAACTGCAATAATACAGCCTAGACTTCAAACATACTTTCTGAAGTCAGTAACTCCCACCTCCCCCTCTCTCCTCATTTTAGTTTAGTGAAATTTATGGCTTGAGCTGAATACAAAAAAAGTTTAAACAAAAAAAAAAAAGGTCGGGGGAGTGGGGGGGGGGGGGGAAGATAGGATGGGAGCAATGAAAAAAATCAATACAGTTGTCAGTTCTGCGAGAACACTCTTTGAACACAATAGTAACAAAAGTAAAATACAATTTCTCACATCAATTTATTT